ATGTGTGAAAAGTCTAATCTAATTACACAATTTTGCATCAACCTAGTAATCTCGCAAAACTTTACTCCATATTCTTTAATAGAATCTAAAACAATGCTAACTAATGGAAAAGCTCTTTAGCGTTAGTTTTCTTTGTGAAATTACTGTTTGATATTTATTTAAAAAATAATATACCTTCCATTTTAGTGCTTTATTGACATTCTTGAAGCCTCAATTATCAGAAAATATTTATCTTCAGAAAAGTTTTTAGTGACTAACATTTGGTCTTGTGTAATGTACTACAATAAAAATTTTGAAGTCATAAAGAGGAAACAGTTCCCAGGACATGAATTTTCAAATTATGTGAATCTGGACAGAATAAGTTTACTGTTGTCAAGAAGATAATATTATGTTTGAAAGTATACTTAATCTTTTCTAAGAGAGAAAACTATTCTCAGTATCAACGAGAAAGAAAAAGTGATGTCACTAATGACTGTGTTTGCCTAATATTACAGAGATACAACTTATTGGTAAGCTAGCAGTATTAACTCTACCAAAAGCTACTAGATTCTTGAATGATTTCCAACTATCTATTTTACTAGAGCAGCATAGTAGTTATTCTGTTAGGAATATGAATTGTACATGCTTATTCATATTTCACAAAGGATAGTAGTCAATTAAATTACCCATAAGTCTAGATAGCTACATAATATCCACTTTCTACAAGTACAATATTTTACTAAAATTACTATATATTTCTAGGTTTACTTTTGAAAGTCCTTTGTCAAGATTAAAATTTCTCATATGCACACACACAAAAAGGCTTGAAATGAGAAAGCCTCCATGTTAAAATCAGCTTAAAAATGTCATTGTACACAAAGAATGTCAATAGTATTCTAAATGTTACTTTTAGTAATAAAACTTCATTGAATACTTTACTATGTTCTAAGAAGGAAAAACTTACAGATGTAGTTGGAAAGTAGAGTTGTTTTTATTTCTACACACCTCAAACACCCATTTTATAAAGAAATGGCAATTTTACTGTGGTTTGGCTTTAAATTAGTGCTGGGTGAATAGTTCAGAGGGTGAAAAAAAAAGAAGCCCCTTAGGCCATCTTGATTTAATTTGCAAACCTAAATTTAAATAGAAATATGTAGAAACAAACCTACATTTAAATGGGATGGGTATGAATTATTGGAGATCTTAAAACCTGAAATATTTTGATTTAGCATAAAAATATATGTACCCTATTATTGTTATATCCTGATAATATTTCATCCAAGATAGCTATATTTTCTGTAAATTTATTGATTGATTTTAGACTCTTCTTCATTTATATTATTGAACTTGACCTAAACACCTATGCTTGATTAGATTCTTTGAATAGATAATTACTTTTAAAATAGTCACTAATTAAGTTATTAAATATTGATAAAGAACTAAATTTTAGCTCTGCTTTGCTTCACTTCTTATATTCAAATAATGTATGCCCTTATTTTAGTAGTATTTTAGTTTATTCAGTGTGCATTTTCTCCTATTTTAATGGATTCAACAAAAATCTTAAATCATTTCTTAAAGACACCTTATCCATGGTATATATTCAGCAATAGAATTTTAGTCCTTGGAGTGATCTCAGTTACCTTCTATTTCAGCTGACATATTTGAGTGATAGTTTTTATTCCAGTTTCTATACAACAGAGATACAAACAAACGTAAAATATAACAGATTTGTGCATTTGGAACTAGTCATATATCTTTTCTAAAAATGATCCATTTTTAATTTCATACGAAAAACTGACATCTAAGACTGTAGAATCATGTGTAAAAGAAAAGTAAATTGACCTGAGTAAGGGACTTAAGGACTCTTCTCAGAGCTCAGCTGGGTGGTCCTCACTTAGGGTCTCTCCCATGTTTGTCCTGACTTCAACTACCATCTTCTGAGGGTTTACAGACTCACAAGTCTCATGCCTAAGCTAGGAAAACTCAAATCACCAGAGCAACTTCTGTGTTTCTGTGTGGTCTCTCGGCATTGTCTTTCTGGCTATCTCTTCAGGGTGACTGGACTCCTAATTTGTTGGCTCAGATCTGTCAAGATGTATCTCAAGAGAAAACAACAGAAGCATTATTTCCTAATCTAGCCTCTAGAAATCTCACAGCCTCATTCTTTCTATTAGACATGAGTCACTGCCCAGCTAAAACTGCAGGAGAGGGGAGAGAATTCAGCCCTATCTTTGGTATGAAGGTTATTTTAAAACCATCACAGTGGTTTCAAGGCAATGTTTTTAGCCATCTAGGAACTGTTTATATTTTTTCTGTGGCTCGTGGGGGCTCTTTGAATATGAGGTTGCTATAATAGATTAGGAACCTCTGGGTAAGTGAAGTTTCACTGTGCATGTGACTAAAGTAGTATGCAAGAATCTGATTTCCAGGATTGAAGATAAGAATTTATTTTTCTCTTAAGGACAGCTTTCCTTCCAGGGAACCCTACCTGGAAACCTGCTTACTTTTGAGAGATGATTATTTCTCCCACTTTCTAGATGTAAAACGAAATCAACATTTTGCTCATTTTCTGGGACTTCAGCAAAATTCATTTTTTCTTACCTAATTTTTCTTTGGACAAATAATGACCATGATTTAAATCATCTCTTTGTATGATAAATAAAATATAATTATAAAATTATGTCAAACTTACATAATAAAGTTAATAATATAAATGTAATAAAATAATATAATAAAACATGATTTTCCATATTTCAGATCTGCCATGGAATAGGGAGGAATGTCTATTTATGAAAAACTAAATGAATGAATGAATGAAGAAAATTCTCTTCTCCAAACATTCTTTTTCATGGCTCATTCTCCATAGTGTCTTTTCCTTTTGGACTATAGTCCTTGTTAGGTTTCTTCTGTCCTTTAAAAATCAAAGCAAGTGAACAAATTCTCCCTAGACCCTTGCATCTTACCTATAGCTTCTGCTTCATATCTCTTCTTGCTCTCTAAGTGTTAAGAAAGTAACCCCCACTTGCTTTGCTTTCTCCACTTCTTTCCATTCGTATATTTAACCCTCAGTGTTCTGATTTCTCTACCTATCATTGATTAGAAATTGCACTTAATCATGAATCAGTACTTAGCAAATCTCATCATTCTCTATGACATTTGACCTCATTTCCCATTCTCTACTCCTGAAATTTCTTATCACTTCTATAATTTAATCCTTTAATTTATCTGATACCATTTTTCCTGGCTTCTTACACTATCTCATTGTGGTTTTTTCCCCCTTCAGTTTTTATAACCAGAGGATTTTCTATTCCTCTTCTCATTCTATGTCATATTCCTGAAGAAATTAATCTCTGGGTGAAAAACTTCAAAATTCGTATCCTCAGAGCATAATTTTTTCTCTGGAACCCTAGTCAGATAGCACTACTCTCTACTTCTGCAGTCCCCAATCCCCCCAGCTGCAGACCAGGACTGGTTCGTGGCCTGTTAGAGATCAGGCTGCAGAGGTCCCCCACCCTTCCCATCCACAACCCTCCCAACCCCACCTCTGTGGAAAAGCTGTCATCCATGAAACCTGGGTGGGGGGCACAGCAGGAGGTGAATGGAGCGGCCTGGGGTGAGTAAGGGAAGGAAGCTTCATCTGTATTTCCAGCGCTCCCCATTGCTAGCATCACTGCCTAAGCTCTGCCGCCCCTTCCCCCCCATCTCCCCCTGGGAAAAGCTGTCTTCCATGGAACCAGGCCCTGGTGCCAAAAAGTTTGGAGACTGCCGCTCTACTTGGCATATCTGCCCTCTTATTACATCACCCCTGAAATATGCTTAGAAAAACATAGACACACACTTCTGTTACAACAATCTATTTCCCTTTTTGTGTTTCCTTTCTCCCAATCTGTTAACATGATTAGTCTCTACCTTTACTTTCCCTTACCACCTACTTCCAGATATTTATCCACTTTTAGTAATTTAAATACCAAAACATCATTTCACTGTCTGCTCTTTTCCAACCTCATAGCTCTCTCTTTAGGTTGTGTTCTCTGATTCCATTCCATTCCCAGCACTGTCTTCTTCTCTTGGCATGCCCAGAGTGCTGTAATTGTGGTGCCAAGATTGAGCCCAGGTCTACCTGGCTCTGTTTCTACCACCACATTGACTAGACCACCTGTTTTTCAAATTAATAGCAAGTTGGATGCTAAACCAAGGACTTGCAAAATTATTTCAGTAATCACTTCACTGAGATAATTTAATCAGTAATATAAATTATTTAAAAAGTATTAGTTACCCTCACTTTATGTTATGTATAAAAATACGTTTATATTTATAGGAATCAAATTCAGTAATCATTCTTGTATTCAACAAGAAGTTATTAATTACCTTGCTTATATGACAGACACAGAAAATAGGCCAAAGTTATGGGCATTATTAATAACTGGAACATGCAACTCACAGTCTCATGAAAGAGATAGATGTGTAACCACATACTTACATTGCAGTGTAATAAGTGGCAAGCAGAGGAATACAACAAAGCTTTAAGAGCCCCAAGAAGGGAATAGCATACATCTAAGAGAATTGAAAAGGTGTCACAGAGAAATTATTTTATACAACTGGATTGTGAAGAAAGAGTAGAGTCTTGTCTAACAAATAATTGGGAGGAGGATGTTTATACATAGGAAACAATGCCAGCAAGAATTTATGACAGAGAACAGTGGGACCAAGGACTTTATGCATGTGGGAATTTGTTGAATGTGTTTAGACAGGGGAGTCATTTAGGTATATTTGTGTTCACTTAGGTACTTATAAACATTTGTGGGGGGAATTGGAGGAGTAAGAGATGGAGGTGAGGAGACTGATTTGGAGGCCAGAGAAAAAAAATCTAGGTGACTTTTGAGTCTGGTGGGAACCCAAACTAAGTTGTTGACTTTGCAAAGAAGTAAGAAGGAAAAAAATATAAGAACTGATCAACACTATATTCTGAAGAAATGTCTAAACTCTACATGTGCACGTTGCATTTTTGTTTTAAACTGTAGACATGGGATGTAGAGCTGGAAAGGTCTGCAGAATCCTGGGCGGAAACATGTATGTGGGAACATGGGCCTGCAAGCTTGCTTCCATCAATTGGGCAGAACTTGGGAGCACACTGGGGAAGGTATCGTAAAGCACAGCTTTTTGTTTCTGAAAAAATTAATATTTGAATAAAATACTTATTAATTCATCATTGCAAATTTGCAAAAACTTGGTACCCGAAAGAAAAACAAGTAATCACCAAATAACAACAACAAAAACATATCAGAATACTCAGTAGTTTTTACTTATTTTTATTTTAAATCGTTGATATATTAGTAATGTAATAAGCATAAATATTTAAGATTAGTAACTTACACAAAAATATCTTTCTTCCATACTTTACCAATCTATTTTGCAATATTTGGTTTTACATTTTCTCCAACATAACTTGCTCTTTGTGGTTATTTTCTTCCTTAGATATAGGCCCCCAACGTTTCATGTACAGGCATGGTATGATGAAGTGAGAGATTTTACTTATCCATATGAACATGAATGCAACCCATATTGTCCATTCAGATGTTCTGGACCTGTGTGTACTCATTATACACAGGTATGTTTTGGGTGTATTATACACCATTTCTCCAAATTGAGTTAGTGTAATTGTGGGTGAACTTAAGCTACTGAGCTTGTGTCTTTCTTATGTCATTTGATATGGTTATTAAAAAACAATAACGTATGGTTATTGATTATGTGAAATAGGCTTACAAATTTCTATAAACAATAAAAGTAATTATTAAAAAGCCCAAACATCTACTTTAAAAGACATTATTTCCAATATTTTCCATAAGAAACATTTTAGGTATGGCCCCAATGAATGTATATGGAGAGAAATTTATTATTTTCAGAGTCTAAGTTTTATTCCAAAGAATAAAAATATAGTTTTTAGTTACCAGTTATATTCAATCTTTACACATGTGCAAGATTTATATATTTTTTCATATTTAGTGTTCACATTTGGTATGTTCTAAACAAATTAAACAAAGGCAGATTCAACTAGCTAAAGGTCAACACTGATCTGAGTTTCTAGAATTTCTATGACCTGTGATCAGTGAATGTAAAGCAAATATATCATTGTGTATGTTTTTACATGTGACAAGAGTAAGATCAGCATCAAACTACCTAAAAAACACTGTCACAATGAAAAGATAGTGTTGTATAAGCAATTTGAACCCTTCAATTTCTGTTCCACTACTTTCAGGATGTGAAATTCTGTTTCTTGGTAGGGCAAGTTTCTTCATAGAAATTTTAATTTGATGTTTAGGTTTGTGACAATGTAACTTTTTAAGTACTCAGTAAACCTGCATTTGAAAATGCTTACATTTTATTGCCAGATGCAGTTATTTACCTGTAGATCTCTTTCTTAAGATGAATGAGGTACTACCCAAAGTTTCCAGAAAAAATGCCCTTTTTGATACTGCCTTAGTTCATTTTGAATGATAAATGTTGGTTTCTCAAGTTCAGATTTTATACGTTTTCCCCTCAGATATGTTGTTGTCTTATTTCATCTCAACCTGCTTTTTCTGAGCCTTTCTTTTCTCTGATGCAGGTGGTGTGGGCAACCAGTAGCAGAATAGGCTGTGCCATTAATTTGTGTCATAACATGAACATCTGGGGGCAGATATGGCCCAAAGCTGTCTACTTGGTGTGCAATTACTCCCCAAAGTAAGTAGACAAAACACTGCGTTCACACGTAAATTTTTCTTGACAATATGAAAATAACTTTATGTTCCTGATTTTTTCCCATTTTCAGTGTGTGTTGTTGAGTAAAGTGTATTGCTTTAATTCAGTTTATTTAATATGACAACATTTATAGTTACCTAATATATAAACAATGCTTAAAGGGAATATGAAATTTGAAAATATGATCTTTGTGAAGAAGGGAATCATATTTTTTAGTTTTACCCATTGATCTATACTATTCCATAAATATTTAATAAATTTGATTTATTAGATATTGACAACTGGGAAATGTATTTTCATCTGTGTAAAGACCATTTAAGTGATTACATCGAAAATACTATACAACCAGACTCAAGATTGAATTTAAGTCTAAGATATGTTTTTATTAAAACAAATGGGATATAGGTGAATATATAGCAGAGTTTGGTTTTCTACAAAAGTTAGATTTTATAGGTTTTGACTATATATATGGCAAATTACTTTGAAAAGTTTCAAAAGAATGAGGCATTAATTTAAATTTAAGCCTAGTCACCAAAAGAACTCTGTACTAAAATAAATAAATGTCTTAAATCTCCACACAAAATCATTACTTATATTAAAATATAGTGTTATTTTGCATTACCTTAAAAATTATGCTGTTAGACTGCCCCTTGACATTTAGGTTTGTGAGGATGTAACTTTTGAATTATTTAGTAAGTTTCTTAATCATCTCTTAAAGGGGAAACTGGTGGGGCCATGCTCCTTATAAACATGGACGACCCTGTTCTGCTTGCCCGCCTAGTTTTGGAGGGGGCTGTAGAGAAAATCTATGCTACAAAGGTAGGTGCTTTTGTATTGTAATATTCACTTTGATTTATATTATAATCCAGCTTCCACATTACTTGTGTTAAAAAAGTCAAAGTGCACTTAATTATTACATGAAAAGCTTCTAGAACTCTTATTTCAAATATTTTGAAAAACCTTTTAAAAATACTTAAATTATTACGTGTGTTATGCCAATATGAGTTTAAAAGAAAATTTCACGATTATTTCCAATAACTACTTCTAATTCTACTTTGAAATTACCCCAGAGTGACAAGTATATTGATATTTTTAAAGGTCATCTTGTATTGCTGACTAGAGTTATTTCCATAACTGTCATCATTTTTGAAGGATTTAGCAACTTACCACACTTTTTAGCACTTTAAAAGTTTTTGCCCAAATACCCTGTTGTATATCTTATTGAACCATGCTCAATGAATTGTACTGATTCTACACTTACTGCAGACTGTGTAGTTTTTCATGCTAAAATAACAAGAAAGTATAATAGTAATGTAAAACTGTTATAAAAGTAGTACCCTCAAATGCATTTGATGTCTTGAAAAGTACATATAAATACAGTGTCCTATTTATAGCCTGTAAACTGTGTTTGACAAAGCTTTGTGAAAAGTCATGCTCTTGGGCATTCAAGTGAACATTATTTACTGCCTTGTACTTTTTTCTTCATGATTATTAAATGGGGAAAAATGTCGAGTAAATGTATCAGAAAATATTTGAATAATTACAGCTCTTTTTTCAGTGCTCATAATGAGATACGTCTCTTTTTTTTCCCCTAATGACTGAATGCTCATTAGCTATAATGAGTAGACAAGAAATATTCAGATATGTCCCTCTGTTGCATAAGCCATTTTTAAATTCCTGGAAGCATTTGAAGCATCTTTTCATTGTATCAGTGTCTGTGCCAAAACCTCCAGCCTACCTGCTCCTTCACCAGTGGCCACTATATTTTATTTAAAGCTGAATTTCCTCTGCTTCCGATTTCATACTTCCTTTTTTTCTAGGTTCTGAGTTCGTAGGCACACATGAAAACAATACCCCTCTCCAAAATGTGCCACTGTCAAGCCCTTGCTATTGGTCAATCTGGAAAAAAATTAAATTCAAATTTGAAATTATTCTCCACTATCAAGTTTAAATTTCTGCACATTGAATTTCCTTCTAAAAGAGAAAAACCTTTCCATAGAAATGGATATTGTAGTAAATAACAGGCATAACGATCCTTCTTTAAACCAGATTTCCATTTGGGAGAATTTTAAATGTGATTCTTCTGAAAATATTAAGAATACAATTTCATTTGAGAATACAAATGCAATTTTACTAAACCCCAACTTTATTAGATCGCTGTGTAGATTTCATAGTATCATTGTGAAAACAAAACACTGGTAATATGTTGAAATGTAAGCAAAGCTAGCTTAAAGGTGACTCCATTAAATATTAGCCAAACATTAACGTAAAAGCAGCAAGGGTTCAAAGGCTTATGTGTGCATTTCATTTACTCCAATGCAGTGCTTTTAAGATCGCCACCTTAAGCCAAAACCTGTGCCAAAAACAGTACCAGTTTTTCTAGTTTTAAATGTTAGATGGGAATATCAAAGTCTATCATTATCTGATAATTTCTGCAAATACAAAATGGCATTAATATTTCCTAAATCTGTTTTCTCTAACAGAAGGGTCAGATAGGTATTATCCTCCTCGAGAAGAAGAAACAAATGAAATCGAACGTCAGCAGTCGCAAGTTCATGACACCCACGTTCGGACAAGATCAGATGATAGTAACAGAAACGAAGTAATAAGCACCCAGCAAATGTGTAAGACCTCTGCATTATTTATAAAAATTATATGGCATACCCATCAAGATAATAGTAATTTGAATATTTTTAGAATGGACAAAACCTATTACAATATATGTAACAAATTACAGCAGCTTTCATATTTTCTAAGTTATTCTGGTGGTTTTTTTTTTCCTTTTAGCCCAAATTGTTTCTTGTGAAGTAAGATTAAGAGATCAGTGCAAAGGAACAACCTGCAATAGGTAATATTTATTATTATTCTGAAAATTAGCTGATAAAATATAAAATGCTTTTATTTTATATTGACATTCCGAGAAACTAAATTTTGTTCCCAATTACTTTGATTTAGGTATGAATGTCCTGCTGGCTGTTTGGATAGTAAAGCTAAAGTTATTGGCAGTGTCCATTATGAAATGGTAAGTATTACAAATGTAATTATTTGGTTCCATAAAATATTTGATTTTTTCATATGGAAAAATAACAACCTATATAATATAGATATTTTGCTCAGAAATGGTTAAAGTCTCATAAGTAGTAAAAGGCTGTGCCTTATGCAGAAGCCTAATATTTTAACATCCTTTTATCACCTCCTTTTCTCCAAGCAATCCAGCATCTGTAGAGCTGCAATTCATTATGGTATAATAGACAATGATGGTGGTTGGGTCGATATCACTAGACAAGGAAGAAAACATTATTTCATCAAATCCAATAGAAATGGCATTCAAACAATTGGGTAAGTACCTAAAAGATCTTTTAGACTAAGTGGGTTTAAATTGTAACAACGAGCCAACACATTCTTTCAAAGGAAAGCATAGAAGAATTGAATTTAAGAAGAGAGAAGTTGGTAATTTTCCAAGTTCATTTTAGCTTAATATCCATAGACAAAAAAAAGAAATAGCATCTAAATTCAAAGTTGAACCCTTTTGCTTGTAAATAGGTGCTAAAACTCCAAATTTTCAAATTTAAGTAAAAATGTATAAATCTATAGTTAATTCCCAATGTAAAGGAATATACTTTTTAGCAATGTCAGAAAATGCCCTACAAAAGACTAATTTGCATATTCCTTCCCTGTTTAGGGAAAATGGCTTATTT